TCATCGAGATGTACCATCTCAATTATCTTCTAAGGCACAATTCATAGGTGGACATGAGATTAAAAGTGATCAAAGGTTCATAAATCTTCTTACTCTTTTTCTCACATGATCATTTGCATATATATATAAATATATATAGATACTTGGTTCAAATAATAACCAATAAATATGTGTTAACTATACTAATCAAGCTTAACCAATCATATTCCATCTTTTATTTATATTCAAATGTAACTCATATATTAAATACAAGGGTAATTAGGTAATTTGACATTTATGTAACTCTCTAATAATTAATTGGGAGTTACAAATCTTAAAGATCTCACTAATTGATCATTATGTAGTATTGAATTTTATTTTCATACGTGTTCATGATCATAGTTTACAAATGATGTTCTACATATAATGATATTGTTTTCGTAAGTGTAAAAGATTTCCGTATCGTCCGAGTAATATGGATAATCTTATTGTGAAACAGATTGACAACAATGAAAATGACAAAATCGTCTACGACTGCGTTCACAATTTGAATTTCGATAATGAAGAAAATGATCAAAGCGTTCCTATTGGTAAGTGATTATTATGACATTTGAATTCATTTAAATGAACACATATCAAAGRCAATAGATGTTCATATCGATACATATGCACAATCACATCACATGAATATGAACAGTATTTGTGATTCATGTGACCACAAGCTTCGTAGGTGTTCATGTACATACAAAAGAGTTGGCTCCTGAATATACAGAAGATGTTCATACGGTTCATATGTTGTTCATATGTCTAATCTTTTTTGTTTGATGTGTTTTGAGGATATACACAAGTTGTTCATATGTCTGACAACTCGTGTATCAAATATAGATTATTTTTTTACCTAAATAACATTTGATATTTTGTTCACATATGTTAATTGAAAATATTAATTTAATAATTAATTTTTAAATATCATTAAATCACAACCGTTTATTATTCAAGTTAATGGCCAAGATCGGTTAACAAAGTTAACATGGTAATCTTGGTTAGCATTTGAACCAACCCTATATATATATATATATATATATATA